TATGTGTCATTTCATGAATAAACACATCATATCACAACCATTCACATAAAGGTACCTCTTGAATGTAGAGGTATCTCTTCATGTAATAATGCATCAATTATAATAGATATGTCTATTGCTAATAGGTATTCAAAAATGTATGAAAACATATTACAAATGGTTGCCATGATTTTGCACGATTCAAATCACATGTGTCGAAATTGCACAAAATCAGTGTCGGGTGTTGCAGCGGGACTTTCCAGGCACTGCAGCGCCCAAACCATAGCATTCTTCTCAAAACGAAACACGAAACGCGCTGCAACGCGCCTGTCGGCTCTGCTGCACACAGGCATTGCATCATCCCAAATGGGTGCTACAACGAGCAGCACTGCTGCGCATAGGCACTGCAGCACCTCAAAGGGGCGCTGCAGTGCTCGCCCCTTGCTGCCTGCACCTGATGTTGCTTCTCCTTTGGCTACAACGCTTCTAACCATGCGTTGTAGCGCCGAAGACAATCACGACACTCAGCCGTGATGCCCCTAACTGATTCGAAACTTATGATCTTGAACGAGTTATATTACAATCTCTCAAACATATATAGTAACTAATTCTTCTCACTATTCATCTGTTTTGCTTGGTGATATAGCGCTGTTTCTTTTTTTTAAGTCTCCTCAAATTTTTATTGGCACTTTTGTGATTTTGTTTTTGGAGTTGCTCTTGTGCATCAGGTATGGTGACCGGCCTTTTGGTTTGAATTTTATTCTCTTGGTGTCATGTCTTTGTTTTTTTTTTTTTTTTTTTATTCGAATGTTGTTGATGAATTTGTTAACATTTTTTTTTGTTTTTTGGATCTGATTTTGCTTTTCATCCGTTTACGATCTTCTATTTTTAAAAAAATCCATTGGGTCTGATTGTGCTGTTTTGTTGCAAAGTTTTACATTTATTCTTTTTCATAATGATATCGTCTTTATAATATTGAAACAGCTTCCTTATGAATTCATGTCCTATGCATTTTTATTGTCTTGCAAACTCTATATGTAGTATGTCTCATAATGAACTTTTCGTAGTGGAATTTCTTTTATACACTGCATTCATTTGTTAGTGACTTTTTTTTTTTTTTTTTTTACATATCGAACAAGGAGTCTCAAAAATCATCACCAATCTCCCTAGCACAGATTAATTTCAAAGATCAAAACCAAAAGGCTTCAGTGAAACAACATCATCTACTCATCATGCCCTGGCACAGATTAATTCCAAAAACCGTCGTGTCTAATGTAGATTTTTGAAATACAGAAGTTTTCATACCGCATTTTTTTAGCACACTAAACAACAGTTTTTTTTTAAATGTAAGTATGCATCATTTAATCTCCTATTTGTTGTAGTGTCTCTTTCTTTCTTTCATTTATTTATTTATTATTTATTTTTTTAAGAAACAAATGATAGCAACCAGAGAAGATTTCCTGAAATTTGGGGAACAATCATGTCCTCTAAGTATTGGTCTACAACAACGGGTCAAAGTTTCATGCAGTGGATTGCTAGGGACTGAATTTGTTAAGGATTAGACATCTAAATTCTATAGTATTGAGAGCAATAGAATTGCGAAAAAACAAATCAAATAAAAAATGAACACATAAAATTTATATAGATTCGTCTCAACCGCTGTAATAGTTATTAGAATGAAAAAGAAGTTCAAGGAAAAATCGCACACTCTATTCTTTGTGCCGCTAAAATCAGCACTCCTAAGGGCCCGTTTAGTTCGCTGATTTGAGTTTTTAATTCGAGTTGAGATGTGATTTTATGTGAGAGCTTTTTACTGTAGTAAAAAAGTTAGATGTGATTGTTTGTGAGAGCTTTTTACTGTAGCAAAACTCGAATCAGCGAAATGAACGGAGCCTTTATAGTGAAAAATCAAGGCAGTGGAATTTATTAGTGTGAAATCTCAAACCACTTTTATTGAAATTTTATCTCGTAAAGGACAAACTTTCTCCAACCTCTCTAATCATCCCAAAACTTTCTTCCATGGGAACGCGTTGTCTTTGTACCATTTCATACTAAGACTTGGGACCAACAGAGAGGATAAAAAATGGTTTTATTTTTTACTTTATTCTAGTGCAAACTTTTAATCTGCTAGTAGTGAAATTCGGGGATGGAAATGATACCATTAACTATCAATCTATGTCGTTAAGACCCGCAAGCGTCATGACCTTGTCATGATCCGATATGTGATGTTTTGTTCACACATCTTTTTTTCATTTTTTTGCTTGTCATACATCATTTTTTATTACTTTCCCACAAGCGGACATCCAAAGCTATTCAAACTTTGATATGGGCCACTCGTACTTTTTTATATTTCCCTCTTTGAAAGACGCGTTATAGCATTACCTTCTTACGATAGGTGTCTTTTTTTTTTTCCGGTGAATTAAGATCGGATATTTTTGCTGCTATAGGAATATTATATACCTATTCACACAAACCTACGTTAAAGCATCTTTAGGAAAGGCTTAGCCGTAAAATGTAATTTTTCAAAAGTTTTAGGCCAAAATATAATTTTTCAAAAACATTGGGATCAAAATATAATTTTTCAAAAGTTTTGGAGTCAAAATGTAGTTTTTGTAAAATTTTTGGGATTAAAATGTAGTTTTACAAAAATTGAAGGGTCAAAAATGTAAGTTTAAAAAAATATAAATTTGCATTGGCCCCTCAATTTTTAAACAATTATAGGTTTTAATATGACTCTATGTCAGTCCGACTCTGGCCCTTAATCTTGCCAACCCCGATATGAATCATAAATCTGTTATAAAATAATACAATAGAATACGTCAAAAATGAACCGTATTCAATGATACGACATAAACTATATTAATTTAGTATATGTATTAACTTATTAAAAATGATAGTCACATTATATATTATATTATTATATTACAGTACTCTAACATGGGCATGTACTTCTCATGCACTAATTTTATACATTTTGTTAGATAAGATAAATTAACATCTTGTTTGTTTGTAATGATATAGTGTACTTCACAAAGAATTGAAGATATCTCATTTCTTTTTAATTTTTATTAAGAATTTTTTTCGGTATGTGACCATACTGATAAGTTAAGTTTTATGTCTCATATTTATATAAAATCACATAAAAATTTAAAAATATATAAATTTAACGGTTAAAAAAATATAACCTATCAATACATCAGATATTATAGAAAATCTTCCTTATTATTATTATTATTGTTAGGTCCGTTTTGGTTACTGGTGTCACAGAAAGCGTTACAACACTTTCCTGTAACACTGTTATAACAGAAGTTTCAATATTAAGCCAGCAAATCAGAAATGCAAGAAACTAAATGCAGAAACGTAAAGAACACCAGAAAATGGTATCGCAGTTCGGTGCGCACACCTACTCTGCGGGGCCACGCCTAGACAGTGATCAATCCACTAAGTTTAAAAGATTACAAAGGACCGAACGGTCTTACACACTCAACGACTCCCTCCTTGACGATGTCGCCGTTGCCTAGAATCTCCTTAGAAAACTTGATCAGCGAGCACCACTCGACTTGACGGTTTCCTCCCGAAACCAAAGAAATCTTCTTCCGAAGAACCAATACAAAATATGTTCTCACAATTCCTCACAACGCATCAAGTGGTCCTTGGCCTTACAATCTCATTCTCACGTACACGGTTCTAAAATCACAGCACACTCTCTCACAAAATATTCATTCAGTGTGTACAACCTCAACCGTGCATCACACAATCAAAAGACCATCACCAACATTCAAATCTGTCAGCCATTAATTCACTAAGTCAATTATACACTTTCTGCAACCAAATCAATCCCTTTGCTGTGCCACCAAAACTTTCCTTAAGAACCTCCCAAAATGTTGCGCCAGCCAAGGTTACCACCAAATTACAACCAATCTGCCTAAAATAGTTTTTCAAATAGTTTACCAAAAATAAGCCAATAACAAAATACACTAACAATCTCCCCCTTTGGCCGTTTTGGTTACTGGTGTCACAGAAAGCGTTACAACACTTTCCTGTAACACTGTTATAACAGAAGTTTCGATATTAAGCCAGCAAATTAGAAATGCAAGAAACTAAATGCAGAAACGTAAAGAACACCAGAAAATGGTATCGCAGTTCGGTGCGCACACCTACTCTGCTGGGCCACGCCCAGACAGTGATCAATCCACTAAGTTTAAAAGATTACAAAGGACCGAACGGTCTTACACACTCAACGACTCCCTCCTTGACGATGTCGCCGTTGCCTAGAATCTCCTTAGAAAACTTGATCAGCGAGCACCACTCGACTTGACGGTTTCCTCCCGAAACCAAAGAAATCTTCTTCCGAAGAACCAATACAAAATATGTTCTCACAATTCGTCACAACGCATCAAGTGATCCTTGGCCTTACAATCTCATTCTCACGTACATGGTTCTAAAATCACAGCACACTCTCTCACAAAATATTCATTCAGTGTGTACAACCTCAACCGTGCATCACACAATCAAAAGACCATCACCAACATTCAAATCTGTCAGCCATTAATTCACTAAGTCAACTATACACTTTCTGCAACCAAATCAATCCATTTGCTGTGCTACCAAAACTTTCCTTAAGAACCTCCCAAAATGTTGCGCCAGCCAAGGTTACCACCAAATTACAACCAATCTGTCTAAAATAATTTTTCAAATAGTTTATCAAAAATAAGCCAATAACAAAATACACTAACAATTATTATTATTATTAGTAGTATGAAAATGAATTTGAAAGGCGGCTGAGTTAAGTCTTTGTCTTTTACGGCGGCTTGTCAAAGCTGATTAGCTGAGGAAGAAGTTTTGGGAACTTGTTTGAACGACGATCATTATAATCCCATGAAATTTTTTAAAAGCATGATATGGGAAGGTTCATGAATCGTGATGGGTAACCCACTGTGCTTCTTTTTCAACACTTCCTTTTCTTTCTTCATTTTTTTATTTTTTTTTCCTCTCTCTCTATCTAGAAAGTCTCTCTTTATCTAACTTTCCAAGTCAACTACCGTGTTGAGCATAGCAAAAGCTCTTAATTCTGATAAACATCGTATTTTGCTTTAGAAAACTAGAATCCTTATTTCAGTTTCTGGTTTTGGTCATTCAGTTGGTAAGTTCCGGAATATGAATCCTTTTCCTTTCTTTGCTCTCTCTTTTATCTCTCATCTTGTGCTTCTAAGCTCAGCTGAGGAGAAAAAACAGAACCAGACAAGTTGTCCAACACTCTTTTGTGGTAAGTTTGAATTCCCTTACAAGGATCAAAAGCACCCCGATTGTGGGCTGTACACGGTTAATTGTTCGAAACCAGTTCCGAAGATCCAATTCAAAGAAGGAGGACACTGGTTTCCTGTTGAGAACATCTCTGTGTCAAAGACAATTCTAATCAATGATACATCATCGCCGAGTCGCTTGGATCCCCGCAGTTGCGAATCTATCGAAAATTTCACTCTTCCGGTCACCTCGTTCTCTTATGCGAACTTTACGGATTCATGGACTCTCTTCAATTGCAGCCACAGTCTAGGAATAAGTACTGTCCCGACCGAATTTAGTCGTACTACCTGCGGAGATAATGATATCTACTACACTAGACTTTTAAATACTAGTTTTCCACCGGCAAAACAGTGTTCAACCATCCGGCTTCCTCCGCTCTCCAATCGAACTCAGGACAATGAATTCTTGTTTGCGACTAGTTTCACTGTTGAAGTGTTTGTATCTCGCGAATGTTCTGATTGTCACAATAGTGGAGGTCAATGCGAGACTAATAGCACAAACAAGTTCTGTTGCTCAATTAAAGGTATGTGTACATCAGCTAAGATCCCTGCATACAAACGTACGTCTTTAATCTGCTATTGTTATCTAGAATCTATCCACTGTCCTCTACCTTTCCTATTATAGATATGGAATATGAGCTTGCTACAAAACTTTCTTCTTTGTTTTTTTTCGATATGGTCTGAGAGGTTTGTATATTGATTTTCCACCCCACATCATGATTTTGTTGAATGTAAATTTTATCACCTTTAATCTTTGTGATTCATGATGTTTCAGGACATAAAGATTTGGCATGGAAGTTGGGAATAGGTATGGTGCATCTTTAATTAAACATCTAACTTTTAAATATGCTTGTTTATAACACTTTGGACAAGCCATGGAAATCCAATCACATTTCTGAGTACACAGAGGCAGTAACTTTCTGAAACTGATTCCAAGTGATTTTTTTTTTTTAGTGCCTCCAATATTGAAATCTGAAGCTCTTTCCTTCAGTAACGCACTCTAAATGGACTCAATCCATTTGACTAAAAATTTTCTTCTTGCAACCTGTAACAACACTAGCTTTTAGCGCCCCCCCCCCCCCCCCCCCTTTTTTTTTTTTTTACTTTTACCAATCACTCCTTTTTTATCTCCAGGGCACAGTTTTGTTCATATTTGACCTCTCTCCTTATTCTGCTTCAGGTATCGGACTTTCTCTAGTTGTTGTCTGTGTTGTAGTCTTTCTTCTCTGCCGCTACAAACAGAAACGCTCTCCTTTGGGTTTCCTCTCAAGGAACATTTCTGATCAATATCACATTTCATACCAAGAAGGGGGAAGTGTCTATTTTGGGGTCCATGTCTTTGCCTACAGAGATCTTGAAGAAGCAACTAACTTTTTCGATAGCAAAAACGAGCTCGGAGATGGAGGTTTTGGAACTGTATACCATGGTAAGTGACAAAAATGACCACTCACATACAGGGGAGACTAAAACGAAAAAATATGTGCATGGTATTTCCATCATTTTTGGCCGTATCTCAATTCTAACCCTTTTGATAACTAGGCACACTCAAAGATGGGAGGGAAGTTGCAGTCAAGCGCTTGTACGAGCACAACTACAAACGAGTTGAACAGTATATCAATGAGATTGAAATACTTACCCGCCTGCGCCACAAAAACTTGGTCTCCCTCTATGGCTGCACTTCTCGCCGCAGCAAGGAACTCCTCCTCGTTTACGAGTACATCGCAAATGGCACTGTTGCTGATCATCTCCATGGAGACAGAGCACAAACTAGTCCTCTTACATGGCCAATTCGGATGAGCATAGCCATAGAAACTGCAACCGCCTTGGTTTATCTACATGCTTCTGACATTGTCCACCGCGATGTGAAGACTAACAACATTCTACTTGACAACAACTTCTGTGTCAAAGTTGCTGATTTTGGACTTTCCCGGCTCTTCCCCAACGACGTCACTCATGTCTCGACAGCTCCGCAGGGAACACCGGGTTATGTTGATCCAGAGTATCACCAATGTTACCAGCTAACCAGCAAGAGTGATGTCTATAGTTTTGGAGTAGTACTTGTTGAGCTCATATCATCTATGCCTGCAGTTGACATGACTAGGCATAGACAGGAGATTAATCTATCTAACTTGGCAATAATCAAGATTCAAAAGGGGGCATACAACGAGCTGGTGGATCTGCGTCTTGGGGTTGACTCAAATAATGAAGTTAAGAGGATGACAATTGCTGTTGCAGAGTTGGCCTTTCAGTGTTTGCAACAAGACAAGGAAATGAGGCCTTCCATGGATGAGGTCCTGAAGGAACTGAAGAGAATTGAGAATGGAAATAATGCGACTGAGAATCAAGTGAAGGGTTTAGATGGTGTGATAATGAGTACCGTACAGCTACCATCTTCACCAGATTGTGATGAAATTCAGTTATTGAAGAGCATGGAAGAACTGCCACCATCACCGAATACTGTGACTGAAATCTGGCATAGTAGTAGGTCTTCGACGCCTAATATCAGCTGCTAAAGTTTTCTATGATCTGAAATTTTCAAGAGAAGTGATAAATATTTGGTATGGATACTCAGATGTTAAGTGATGAGTCCAAAAATTTGTTTTCTGTTCGACCTGCTTTGTTGCTTGTCGTAAGTTGTTTATCCAACGCACACATTACCTGTAGGAAAAGGTTTTGGAGAGTGTACATGATAAAAGGGATATCTTATAACTAGTTAATGCTCACAGTCTACTTTAAATACAATTCAGACCATGATGACCATTTCTTCTTTTTTATTATTATTATTATTATTTAAACATTAGTATTCATAATCATTGGTGGTGTCTCACCGTTTGTTAATTTTCACACAGCTAGAAGTAAGACAAGTAAGTATCAAACCATTTTGTGGTAGTTTTCATATAACAAGAAGGGATTCAAGTGGCAAAAATAAACAAGTTGGCACAGAGTTTGTTCCTTTGCACTTATTGCTAAAATTTTTGTTAGGTGTGGAAGATTGTTGTTGAGGGAGTTTTTTCCACACTTTAAAGGGGATGGATTGGGCATGAATATCATTCTAACAATGGGTTCCTTAAACGCAGATTAAACAAGGATGATTGCGATATGAAAAAACTCGCTTCCAATGCCGACAAGCTCCTACTGGCGGAGCTTGGACAAGGTGATCCTTGCCGTGCTTAGTGAAGCTCATTATGTCAAAGCTCGATCAAGGCCAGGCTGATAGAGCTCTCAATGCCTATTATGGCCAAGAACTTCCTGAGCCTCACCTAGCATGCAAGTGGGCAAGCACAGGGTTCATAATTCTCTGAGGATGATGAGTTCCAATGATCAAAGCTAATTCATTTACTTCATGGAACACAACTTGGGGAGGCAAGAACACCCACAAATCACTCTTGGATCAACACCCTGTCATTCAATACTCACGCCAAAGAGGGAAAGTTTCTCACTAACGCCTAAGGTCTACTCTGTCATTACTATACCTCTCCCTTGAGAGGCCTAGTTACACACTTCCTAAAGAGTACCGAAACTCTAGTCTAATTTCATAAGCTTGTTCACTTTGATCATCAAAGTCCAATCACCTACTAGCCCACTAATACGTATCTTGAGTTTCTTTTGCAAATTGTCTTGGTGTTCTGGAAGTGTTCTTCACGCATTCTTAGTCGAGAGCCTGTTTGATCCAAAATTTGAAATCTAGAAGGCATTCTTGGTGTTAATTGAAATATTAATTAACAAGTGTATTTCTTTTGTCACTGTCTTTGATTTGTAATTGTCATGTTAATCAACTTTGTATGAGCTTTATTTACTTTATATTTTTATTTTTAAATGCGGAGTTTGCTTAGTTGATGCTTTACACTACTAAAGTAGCATTTTTTTTTTTCTTTTTGTTTCGCTCTTCCTTTGTTTTGTCCTTTATCACTTGCCTGTTTTTAGAGTGCCTAAAACGTGAACCTCTTACTAATGGTGAACGAAATTGTCCAATTCATACTTCATCAACAGTTCAAGTAGCTGTTTACTTTTTAGGTTTCGAAATCTGAATGGCAAAAAAACGTGAGATAGTTGTAGCAATAATTATATATGTTTCAAATTATGATTTGTGGCCAAAGATGTGAGAGAAGGGAATGTGTCCCTACTATTAATAATTACGAACAATATCACGCCATATGTACAAGTATAACAGCTCTACTTGAATGTCTCTTTTCGAAGAATAGCTAGCCATGTGTCATGCGATTTGGCTTAGGAAATTCAATGATTAATATCAAGCATGCTCAATTTAGTACTAGTAAGTGACAAGTGCCATTTAAAGATAACATATTTCATTTGAATTTTGGCCAGTTATTCAAACACACATACCCGTAATTGGGTCGGAGCTAGAGTTCACTGAACTAATACGGTGGGGCAAATAAAGATATATAGGTCCCGTTTATTTTATTGATTTAAATTTTTAATTTTTAATTTTTTACAGTTTAAAATTCTCATAAAATCTTATATCTAATTTTTTTATTACAGTTAAAAATTTTAAAAAAATATTGCATATCAATTTGAATTAAAAACTCAAATTTATGAAGCGAATGAGACATGAAATTTTGAGAATGACAAAATTTTATACACATAACTGAAGAGGAAAAAAGGGTTCAAGTGAGACGGCACCCACTCCCAGACTCAGCGGTAGCTGCCAATAATACATCACAACTAATCCCTGTAAAAAGTTCATATCTTCTCTAACAATTCTTTCATTGTTTATTCATTTTTTTAACTTTCAATTTATTTTGAACACAACTAAACCCTGAAAAATGAAAAACTTCCAATAAATCACGATTTTCAAAAGTAACTTTGATTTTTTTTCAAGACTGTGACACCTTGAATATCTCTTTCAACAAAGAACACTACCAAACTACTAAAGTAATTTTATTTTTTTTATTCTTATCAAATCACATGTGAAAAATGGAATACTCAATACTCTATTTTCTTTTTTGCTGAATAAAAAGCTATTTCTTTTACAATTTACTACCTAAAGAGAGTTTCAATTAAGTTTTGTCATGTACCATAATTTCTTCCAGAAGAATCAAAGAACCATTGACTTTTCAGATTCCCTGTTACTAGTCTTCTAGTCATCAAGTATCACAAGAGACTCGAGAATTAAACAAGACGTTCCTCTTTTTCACAGGCCGCCAAAGATTAGATTACCCAGAATTAGAGAATTTTTCTCGGAAAATGAACCCACTTTTTCTCTCACTTCCTCTTTTTCCTCCATAATTTTCTTCTTCTTCGAAAAAATTCGTCAAAAAGGAAACAAGAAAGAGAAACAAACTCCTGTTATAAACCCCTCCAAAGCGGCAACAAAAAGATGCAATCACTTCTCAATTCATCATCACCATCATCAAAAACACGACAACAGTCATTGGTAAAGAAGCCATTCAAATTCAAATTAATCCTAACTGGCGCTATAAAAGACGAAGAGAATAAGCGAATTACCAGCTCAGATCATAAATCCATGGCGACTCTGCAGAGATTCAAGCTCCTCGCGACGCAGTGTGGCGTGGCTCAGAGCCCGACGCGGAGCCCTAGGACGTCACCGGTCGTCCACCTCCGTCGCCGGCGATCTACTCTCCGATCGATGCTCCTCGGCCGCCGAAACGCAGCCGCGGCTCCTCCTCGCCGGCGTGACTCCGTTAGTTCGTTGCCGGAGAGGAGGATTGAGGAGGAAGAAGAGAAGGCTCTGGTGAAGAGAAACAGTCTGAAGGAGTTGTTTGGTTCGGCTTCACAATCGCCGCCATGGGAGGTGGAAGGTGCTCGTGGGCGAAGAAGCTTCGTGAAGGAGAACCGGGAGAGTTCTCCGGGGTTTGTTGGGGTCGGTCTGGCCGGTTTGAGAAATGGACTGGGTTCGCCGAGGCCGGTCTGGACGGGTTTCCGTTACAGGTCGTTATTGAGGAGGGCTTGGCGCCCTGTGCTCGTTACTATTCCCGAGTGATGAATTTTTGTGAATTATAGTTGGAAATTTTATAGATTTAAAAAATTTTGGCAATACAAAATTTAGATTTTTGTGAGGTTTCCTTATGTTTTCTTCTTTTCATTTAGATATTTATAAGAGGAGAAGAAATCTTATGATTTGGGGACATAAATTCTCAATCAAAGCAAGAGATTCAGCTATTCTATGAATTAACATGTTGTTCTTGAATTTTTGTGAACTATTTGTTGGAAAATTTTAAAAATTTAAAATTTTTGGCAATATAATTTTCTAATATTTGTGGTGTTTTCCTTCTTATTTAGATGAAGAAAATAGCTTATGATTACAGGTTATAAACCATCAATTAAAGCATGGGATTTAGATTCTATGAATTAACGTTGTACTTAAATTTTGCACTTGAATCATTTCATTTTGGTAGTTGACACATGAACGTCCAATTCACAAATTTAATCATGATTCAAAACTATTTTCAATTTATGTATATTTTTTGTGAGAAAAAAATACTATAACGAGCTACGAACCATGATCTGAATCATGTCACAAATCCACTAATCAAATGCACTACAAATCTTTAGTCTCTACAGTAGTACGAAGTGCTATTTTCATTTTATTTTCTCTTCAAATACGTAAAAAGACTTTCTCTTTTCCAAAACAATGCTGTTTAATGTGAAGATCCCACGTCGTGTTATCTTGTTCAACATAAAAGTAGGGCTAAACTTTCAGTGCTACTAGTTTGTATAAAAAATTATAAGCAAGTGATAGTTTACTGATATTAACCTCAAAATTATAATATAAAAATAGTCTAGTTGCAAAGAAAAGGAATATGGTTTTTACTGCTCTAGCGTCAAAATCAGACAATTTTCTGAAAATCAAAATTGTAAGCACATTTTTATTAGGAACGCGGTTTGGTCATCAGTCATCACTCATCAAGGATGAGGTTAGAGTCTAAAGTGAAAAGGTTCACCAAATTCTTTAGGCAGTTCGATTTTTCGCAAAAATCAATGAGAATCAAAGAAAATCAAACTTTGGAAGATACATACATATTATATATACACATAAATATAAGCGCCAGTTGCTTTATTTTATGGGGAAGGTATCTATTCAAAAGTTAAAGTGCAGCTTGGACCAGAGCCGTGGCTCGTGGGAGACCAGATAACATGCATAGAAAGGCATTTATTGTGATGTTCCCTTTGAAAAAGGGGCAAAAGATGTTACTGCGTCCTCAAGCAAAAGAGGCTCGATTAGGACATTTAAATCTTAGGACGAAATAGTTTGTGTATATCCTCTTTTTTGATATATGGCACCACTTGTCGTAATTATGGAGTATCAAACAATGCATTTTCCAAAAAAAAAACAAAAAACAAAGGAGGAAAAGGAATTGCTAACACTGTTCCTGAATTTTGTGCATTCCATCACTTTGAACCTTGAACTTTTAAATTTCACAATTGGTCTCTAAACTTTTGATTTTTGACCACTTTGATCCTTGTACATTAAAATTAACAATGGATTTATAAAATTTCACGAAGATCATTACGTCCTAGATGCATAATACTGAAATTTTTACAAAACTAGTTGCAGTAAATGCTAAAAATACTCTTTAATTTTTACAAAACTAGTTGCAGTAAATGCTAAATATACACTTTAATGTCATTACAAACCGTTAAATACTTGTTCATTTTGCATTTGATGTGACTAAAAAAAAATCAGATATTATGCACTCAAAACGTGATTATCTTTGAGAAATGTGAGAATTTATATGCCAATTTTAGTATGCAAGGACCAAAGTTTTCATAAACTAATTTGTTAAAATTAAAGTTCAAAGACCAAAGTAACACAATGTGCATAATTTAGGGACCAATAAGGATAATTACTCTGAAGAAAGCCTATTCGTATTCTTACTCTTATGTTTGGTATGGATTTTCTCTTATAATCTCTTTACATCTCAAACATTAAAGTAACATTAAAGTTAGGGGTACTTTGAAAGATGTGAAATCGCTCGCACAATCTATTTTCTCCTCTATTATATCCTACCAAACAACTATCGGTACCAAAATCATTTTGTTAATTCTATCACCCCTTTCCTTCCTTCTACTTTCCCGTCCAACCAATACATCCTACAGTCCTTTTAGTTCTTGTGCTCTATAAATTCCTCAATTATGCTTGCATATTATCGCTTCAAAAGACAGATCCCGATAAGATCACTCAATTGTTCGACAGAGTGTTGCTAAAAAAAGAAGCAAAAGCGAAAAAAAAAAAAATATATATATATATATATATATATATATGTGGTCCGGACTTCCACTTCCTGATACATCCACGTCACGTTGCTTTCGAATATTCCAGCGGTTTCATTGGTTCCATAGTTTCACCGAATCATTTTTCAAATTCTCTACAGACATCTGTCTAAATTTCTAATCCAGCTAAGAGTAAAATACACTAAAAGACATCTAACAGACATCCTTGGCGCGATGCTTTTCATTGCTTCCAACACAAGGAAGAAGAATTATTTGCACACTTGCACAATGTATATATCTAAAGAATGCTCGAACTATATTCCAAAAAAAAAAAAAAAAAAAGTTACCTGCTCAAAAAATGAACTTACAGTTATTCACCTCTCAATATCTAAACTCAGGAGCCTACAGAAAATGGCATCAATGACATGCCGCTTAGCACAAAACTGACATTCAATCAGTGTCTTCCTGTTAGCTGCTCTTTGTTTCCAATAGGAATTGATGGAGTTCTTTTATTTAATTGGCTTTGTGATTGCCCAAAAACAGGACTACTGTTTTCTTTCACCACGCCTTCATTTCCCTTCTCGGGATTGACATGGTTATCGGGTTTAGGGTAGTCCTGGAAATGATTCTTGTTTGGAGGAATTACACTCTGCAAGAATCTATGCATCATCTCATAACTAGTAAATGTAATGATGGCAGATGGAGTTGTTCTCATTAGATTGGTTGCGCAGCCACGATAGAAACCTGGAAGACCTTCCCTTTGAAATACCTTCTTAACACAATCTACTAACCCTGCGTACTGCACCACTTTATTTCGAGCCTGCCCTTGTTCTTGCAACCGGGAGCGCACGACCTGACCACAGCATATACAAACAGGGGAAAAGAACAAATTGTAAACAATAAGCAAATAAATAAATAATAAATTCCTTGAGAGTAAGCTCCCAATGGAGTTTTGAGGTCCAGCTGAACATACCTCATGAGGGTAAGTTGCTACAGAGGCAATTACTTTGGATATTGATGAGGCAATAGCAACACTGCCAGGGCCTAGCTTATCGACACTTGTATTTTCTGAGAATTTTAATCTTTACAATCAGCAAGCTTTCACACGAAAAATTCTGGCACATAAATGCAAACAAAAATGTTTACAGATAAAACTACCTCTTTTAGCCATGTATGACTTGATCTTTTCATACGCTGGAAATTGAATTGCAACATGGCTTATTCCCACCAATGAAGGCACAACACCGCTGTTTCAAATCAATAGGGAATAGATCACCATTTCTTAAAGAGAAAAGGCTTCAGTGTGCAATATTTTCCGTTCGATTAATTATGTAATAATTATATAATATTTGACAGTTTGAATTTAAGTAGCAGACTACCTACGTAACATTTGTAAGCATACTAACCTATATAATCCCCGAATACCTTCCTCGTGTGCAATCCTTGTTAACGCAGAAAGTATGCTTTTGTAAGGAATTACATCTTGCCTCATTCCCTGTGTCTATAAGGAGATGAAAAAGAAATAAACACCAAAGTAACACAGCATATGATAACACATCTACAAACCTAAATGAACCTCCTAGGAGTTGCTACATCAAAGCAATATTATAATATAGGCCCCAAGTAAGGAATTCCCCCAATGAGGAATTGTATATGATCAAATAGAAAACTTTACACAAACATATGAGGGCCTTTGGACTTGGCCAGGAATTGTATGTTAATTACTTATCATGATTTCCTCTCTTTTCACAAACATATGCTTGTTCCAAACACTTTGTGCTAGTCTTCACTAGAACATACTTTGACAATAATCAAACACGTAATAGCCCAAATTAATTAATGAATGAATAGCTAGTTTAATAAATTTATCAGCATGTAAAGAATTCCACGTCTTAATATCCAAGAAAGATACTTCTTCAGCTTCAAAAATTGATCAGGGGAAAATAGAAGATACTGGGAAAAGTATGGCTGAAAACCTTTGAAAAGCTAATTGGCGATACTAGGACTTCTTGCAATAGAGCCATCCATTTCTATTTATACTCTATGTTGTTGACCCAGGCATCAGGGTCAGCAAAGATATTCAATAAGAATACACAGCACAAGAGTATGAGAACATATCACATCTATCCTGTGGAAGTGAAACACAAACGTTCAGAGTGACAAACTTACTTGAAGTCTAGTCTTAACAACCCACAAAGGATTTGTGGTGATGGCTGTGGTGGCCCCAGCACCAGCAGCAGCTACCATATTAGCACCAATTGTGAGTTGATTGCTGCCATCGACTACAACATTAAAATATTGCATGTTAAAATAAATAAAACTAACAATCCCATTAGAAACTGCCAACAGCTAATACCTGAGACTACAAAATAGTTCGAAAGAAGAGAAAAAGAATGTTAACACCCTTCAGAAACCAACCATGTGAATGAAGAAGGTCTTTTAGTCGCTCATAAACAGTGAAGTATACCTACAGTTGAAACAAAAGCTTTTGTCACTTCGAGAAATTCAATACATTGAATGGATTTTCCATATGACCATAAGCAAGAAAAAAGAAATTACACTAAAGATTATCACTTAGATAGTATTTCAATTTCACATAAGTGTTGACAGCCAACAGTGAAAACATTCTATTTAAAGAAAATTTTGTAGTACTTTTTATTGGGGGGTGGTGATGGGGAGCTTAAGATAAGTAGACTTCCAGAACCTGGGACCTATAGGGCCCGGACACCCATGGAGAGGTTACGTTCATAAAAAGCATGTCATGCAATCCCCTAATGAATTCCAGTATAAATTGTACTTTTAGAGACTAAATTGAAATTTTGCATTATGCGCAACACATCTGTGTGGCGCTTAAGGCAGTCTTTTGAAAGAAAAAAAAAATTTTTTTGATTCACCAGTTTTCTTTTGAATGGTAAAGAACGGGATCCATTGAACTTTATACAAGGCTAGAATTTGAGCACCTCCCAACAGAACACCATTATGTACTTTATACAAATGAAGCAAACGCAAATGGGATAAAAAATTTTATTATTAAATAAAAAGGAATTTCCAAAATTTGTTTATTAAAAATCAAGAAAAACAATACTCACTGCCCAATTTGGAAGCAAGGCTAGTATTGTTGGTGAAAGACCGCGATACATCCCCCTCAAACCTTCAGTCTTTATTATGTCCTGTAGACTTGTGATAATGATACTACCTAAGTGCAGGCCCAAAAAAAGAAAATGGTCATTCAACAATAAATCAAGCAATTTACAGTGTTCATTAGTACCTAAACTAAAAACTTGCACATATAATCTCAACACAATTAATGTGGGAGATCGACAACAGAATGGCGTTGCAATTTCATTGAAAGAAAAGCTGTGTAGCCTATACCTAAACTAAAAACTTGCATATAATCTCAACACAATTAACATAACAATTCATAAGTATGTCTAGTATTTCACAAAAACAATGCGCTATACAAAGTTTTCTGATTTGTTTACTCCTCCTTCAGTTAGTCCCAACCAGAAATCAATGAAATTTTGCAGAACCAAGTAGAATAACTTTTAACAACTTCAGAACATGTTCAATGAATTCACAAAATGAAACTTATAAAAGAAGCAAAATATTTTGAAATCAGAAGTAATCGTTACAGCTAATGAAAATAGGACGTGCGCTTCCATCTTAAAAAGGTCAACCGGTTAATTCACTTCAGCATTTATTTTATAATCTATATTCTATACAACAGCAAACAGCTCAAGTTTATAAAATTACCCAAAGCCATTTCAAAAGTTGCTATACTTTAATGAAAAAGATAATAGCTTTTAGTATTGAAAAGAGTCTTAAAATACCTTTGTGACCAGAAGGAAGGCCATGGACCTGAAGCCTTGTTTTGATCACATCCAGAGGACACATAAATGTAGCCGCAATAGCACCTACAAACACAAACAATAATTCTTTTAAAAAAACAAAAAGAACAAGAACAGTACTAAACTTTACAAATTGAACCAACCAAAGACTAACCAGCGGCGGCGCCGGCGCCGGCCCGGCAGACGAAATCTCTGATCGTTTGTGCGTCCGACGATTCGACATGATCTCCGCCCATATCGGAATCCCTCTCTCTCCAGTGTTCGATGAAATCTATGTAAGTTTCATTGCCGATCGCCCCATGTGTGTGTATATATAGTTATTGGGTTTGTGTCGGTTACATTTAACCCGCGAATGAATTTTTCAAGAGAGAGAGAGAGAGAGAGTGTCGTCTGGGGCTAAGTTGGGAAGGACTTGCTTGAAGGGGTTTAAGCGGTGATTTGGGAGTTTGGACCAGTCGGGAAGGGGGATAAGGACGTGTTTGTTTGCCAAGATCTGATTTGAACGGAATTGAAACCTTCGGGTGTTTCTTTCTTGCGCAATTTCTCCTCGCTTTCTATCTTGGTAGATATTAATTAAAAGTTTGTTTTTGTGCTTTTTTTTTTTCTTGGGATTCCAAACATGGAAATTGTTCAGATTCTGGCTCATCCTCAACCAATCTGATCTTTTTTTTTTTTATATTTCAGGAGAATCTTTACAGCCAACAATTCCATCATTTTTAATTGTTGAATATCTATACATATTTATATTAAAAAATTTACAACAACATATAAAACTACTCATTTTATACATCTGATCGTGGAAAAAAAAATTTAAAAATAGTAAAAACACAATTCTACTAATAAAGTAAAATAATCTGCTGCCGTAAAAACTTCTTTTGAAAAAAAAAAACACCTAATTAAGGTGGACGCCAATTGTTTTATTTAAAAAAAAAAACACTGCTTTAATTACAAAATATATATATATATATATATATATTTATGTATATGTAGTGATATATATATATATATATAAGAGAGTTGCTATCAAACAAACCAAATAAACAAATCTAAAAGGCTTGCAAACTCAAAATAAATTGAAGGAAAATATAAATTGGTTAAAGCTTTGGAGTAAAGCGATTTTTGAAAACTCTGGAATAAAAAAGTTCATACAAAGAAAAAGAGTGGATCTCCCATGAGCAACACCAATGAGCATTTCTATTGGATTTTGTCTTATTTTATAATATATTACTCTAATTTTATTTTGTTACGGTCTTTTATACAAACAAATTACTATGGGTAGTGTTAAGCGCATGGAATTTAATTATTATCTTGATGAAGAGTTAGCACGCATGTGGATACTTTAGAGTTTTTAAATTTGTATTTTGGATTGTAATAGTTCTTCTACTTAGAGAGATTAAGTTAAAGAGATAAACATAGATAATTTGAGAGGCGTGAAGTGTGAGACGTGATTTCTTTTGTAATTTTCTTATTTATTGTAGTGAAATTATGCATCAGAAGTAGATGTAACTCTCATATTGAATGTGAATTACCATGAATCTTCTATATGTTTATTTATTTATTTATTTTCTGAATCTTCTATATGTTTATATGTTTGTTTGGATTCTTTTATTTTATTGTTACGGGTAATAAAAGATTTATGGTTCAGTTTGTAATTGATTGATTTGTAAAGCAACACAAATACCACTTTTCCTTATAGGAGTAGAGACAAAAATTAGACGGTAAAATCCCGTTTGGCAAAATAAGCTTAAACCAAGTTGGTGGTTGACTGGTTGTGTTGCCTTTGGTTTTTTTTTTTTTTTTTTTTTCGTTTTTACGAAACACAAGTCCCGTTCACTTCGTTGATTCGAGTTTGTAATTCGAGTTAAGATGTGATTTTGTGTGAGAGCTTTTTACTGTAGCAAAAAAGTTAGATGTGACTGTTTCTGAGAGTTTTTTACTGTAGCAAAACTCGAATTCTAAACTCGAATCGGCGAAATGAACGGGGCCTTTGACTACATATATTTTCCGCGCAAGTGTTTTTCGTCTAATCCTTAAAAATTATACAGGTGTTTGGCGAGTGTATTGTAATGAACATTTATAAGTTGGGTTACAATCTTTTTTGCATGACCTTCTAGTAGTCATGGCTTATGAGGTTGTATTTTGAAGGGTTATATATGCATGTTTTACTGGCATATAGCATTGTGAACGGCATGTGCATTGGTCATAATAAGTCATGGTCTCATGGTATGTTGATTTGGTAATCCCTTCTTGGAAAAGTAATGAATAATACGATGCGAAAGGAACGTAGTCTCATGGTATATTTTTCTCCCGTCCCCTATTCCTTTTTGTCATTTTTGGAAATCCTGAAGTTCACTAATAGAATAAAAAAGACTTTATGCAATTTCATTCAAACAGATAGACCAAGTTTTCACTCTTCTCACCGTACACCCAACACCGTATAACATATTGATTGAGCAGAAATCTAAAAATAAGACTGTAGAGTATTGAATTCTGGGTGCATCATGAAAGAATAAGGCATTTAACACATTAGTGATAGGGACGATCTTCTATTCGTTGTGTCGGTGATGTTTTTGAACATTTTTCATGAAGTTAATTATATATATATATATATATATATATGTTCATTATACAGTAGATGAAAAAAGAATGTTCAATATTTACACACAAGTTTGTAAAATAACCTGTTATAATATTTCAAGCCTTTGTTAATCACCCTTAAAAGTTAGTTATATAAATTTACAACCGTCCGCACAAAAAAAAAGGTATATTTAGAACAATATTATCTCAATAATCATAAAGGAACAGATGGATAATATCATTTAATTGACATATTTTATACGTGGAGTTTAAAATTATTACTTCGTGTAATTACTTCTTGTTTCGTGTGAAAGCCGATTGTAAAGGTGTTTGTGCTTCTAAACCACGGTTGAAGCCTCGGCTTTTGACTATTTTCAATCTTGGACCAACATTATGACTTGGGTAGACCTAGCTCTTTGAATAATGAAATCTGAGTCCACAAAATTCAGTTACATGACCACTATTGCACATGACTGCTGACCGTGGAAAGATTCAACTGGGCCAACTCAACCAATTGAACACGGCCCAGCATAATTCTTATTCCCACATGAGCTGTTACTAGGTCATCAATTTTTTAGAGAGAGAAAATACATGGCCGTAGTTTTATATAAGTTTATTATTTATTGTTTGAGAAAATTAGATAACTTACTTTTAAGAGTGCATGTCTAAATTTGTACTCCTTACACTTGATTAATACGTTTTTGCTAATATAATTATTTAACTAAAAAAGTATTAATTAAAATTAAAAAATAAAAGTTCAGATCCATATACTTTTTAAAGAGTATTTATCATTTATTCTTTATGTTATTACAAATAATTAAGTGTTATTGTAACCTATTGTTTCTTTTTATTAATTGAATGATAATTATTTATTTTTAAGTGAAGTGACATAAATAATATTTTTACCTTTGGTCTTTTTTTTTTCCTTTTTAGAAATGCATTTGGGTCATCAATGGACATGCGTATATTGTAAAGTATCCAGAAACATGACAAAGGGTTGAATTTTTCATGGCATTAATAAAAAATATATATATTTCAAATATGGAACTAGTATTGATTATTTTTCTTTGGTATCACCGTTGATAGACTTTTCAAGTAGTTATAATAAAATAACTAGTTACTCGTGCTAATTAAAATAATTACTTTTCATATTTACTTACAAAACAGTGACATAAAAAATAAGCAAACTAGTATTGGTTAAAAGAATTAACTCGATGTATAAACTAATATCTACGAGTTTTACATGATGCAGATTGTTTCGTAAAGTTTTCAAATGTTGCCGGTTTTTTTTTTTTTTTTTTTTGTGATTTTATAAACGTTTTGGTGAGCGGTAGCACAATAGGTGACAACCAGTTATCATAATTTTCAGTATCACATTGGGCTATCTCCAAGCATTATGGTAGAATACCGAAGGTCACTAAACAGTGCAGATACTTCAATTACCAGAGTTTCTAGTATCACGCCAGACTATTCTAAAGTATCATTGTAGGACACCTATGGTTACCGACCGGATCCTGTAGGTTGACATCATGGAAGACTTTCAAGTACAGCGGTGGGATATGGACTATTATTGATTACTATTGTCGGATGTTGGGTTTGGTATTGTTTTTTTATTTCAAAAAATCGAAGCTGATTTTAGTATTTAATAAATTTTTTTAAAAATATTTTTTGAAGAATTTTTTAAAAATTTATAGTTAAAATTAGAAGTAGTTTAAAAACAACTTTTGTTTTTAGATTGTGCGAGAATCAATAAAGTACAATTAATAAAACTTTCATAATACCCATAATATCCCTAATAAAATTTAAAATTTACAATCTTCTCAATTTAAAATTAGACTCGCAATATAATATAATATAATAGTAATATTGTAACAAATAATATCATAATTATATTAATAACTAATATTATTATTTTATCATATAATATGATATTATAATTATATTATAATTATTTTAATCATATGATATTATAATTTATGTAATATTATAATATGTTTTACAATATTGTAATTATATTAACCATTTTAATAATATTATTATATTCTATATCATAATTATATAATATGTTATTTAATAATAGTTTTATTGTATTATATTAAATATAATAATAAATATACATTATATTGTAATTATATATATTATTTTATAGTATAATATAATATAATCGTTTATTATTTTAATAATATTATTATATTCCATATTATAGTTATATAATATATTATATAATAATAGTTTTTTGTATTATATTAAATATAATAATAAATATATATTATATTGTTATTATATATATTATATTATAGTATAATATAATCATTATTTTCAATTATTTCAGTTATTATTTTAATAATATTATTATATTCTATATCATAATTATATAATAATAGTTTTTTATATTAGTTTTTTTGTGTTATATTAAATATAATAATAGATATATATTATATTGTAATTATATATATTATATTATAGTATAATATAATATAGTTGTAATTTTTAACTATGCACAATAATTTAATCTCATAATTTATCCAACGTTATTACATTGATTTTAGAACCAGTACAGCTATTATAATTATAATTTACCAAACACTTAGCTGCTTTTTGTAACAGCTGCTTCTTTTTTCAGCACAGCTAAAAGTAATTTTTTTAAAATCTACAGCACTATCAAACTAAGCCAATAAATTTTACTGGCGTAAATTAATTGAAGAATTTTGCGACAGGGAAAAAATTGACCCTAGCTTTGTACACATTATATGGTTTTAAACTATTATATCTTATATATAATGAGTTTTGTTAAGTTGGTATTTTTTTCCTTATGTTACAAATTAAATCAGGGATTCTTTATTATAAAGAGCAATAAAATAAAGAATGATGAATAACCACGCAAAAAATTTATATGGAGTCGTTTACCCTTATTATGATAGTTTAAGTTACTTTTAGGATAATAATTAAACTCTACACGCTCAACCTTAAATTGATATATATATATATATATATATATTTGACTTTAATTGAATTAACAATTCAGAATACTAATAGTTATTGGTTCATATTCTACTATGAAAGTTCATAATTAATTAAAGACACCATCCAACATAAAAACTACTTCA